ATGTGATGTGTGTGTGTCAACAACGAGGTCAAAGCGAAACCAAAGGCCAACAAATCAACTACACCTAGTCTAGGACAACTCATGGAATCTAGTCCACCAACAGTCTTGTTATGCTTTTCTTTATTTTTTCACGAATAGCTGCTGAGTCAGCCACACCCTCTCCCTCCTCTTCATCTTCTGCAGTTCCCCCCACCTCCCAGTCTCCCCTCTCTCTCTCCTCTACCACTGCCACCACTACTACCAACACCTCTGGTGAGTTCAGAGCTGAGATAATTATTATATGATATTTTTGGCGAGTGGGAGCGATCCAGCTACAGATACACAGCCACTGGTGATCTCAGGGAGGAGTATAGTTTGTCATATAGCCGTCCTTCGCTGCTGGAGTAGTGCGTGCAATGCCAGCGAGAAGGGCGTGCATTCCAGTCCTCATCTGCTAGACACTGCCGCCTGCGGGCTATATATTGTGCTCCTTGGCTGTTTCTGGAGCAAGAGGCTGCCTCCTGCGAGCTCTGCTGCGTAGTTGTGCCTGGATCGATGACAATACGTGTTATCGCACACGCTGTAACGTAATATTGCATTGAGGCTGGCCGTTGTTTAGACTCACGTAGAACATTACGGTATGTGTGGCGTCGCTGGATAGGAAAATCAGCCTGTTGACGCCACTAGGTGTGCTCGCTCCCACTCACCAATTACATGGGAGAAAATTGAGATGATGATGTGTCTTTGTGTTCTATTCCAGGGCAAGTAGTGCTGCCTGACCTGATAAAACTATCAACATCCCAGGGAGATATCAGAATATTGAAAGAGAGTGCGGCAAAATACACACAAATTGGAACCTTATTGCTGAAGGATGATACCGGGGCAATAGTCAATGCAATGGAACAGAGCGACCGAGTTGCAACAGTTGAAAGTATATACACGCAATGGATACAAGAAGATGAAGATCACTCATGGGAGAAACTGATCCAGTGTTTGAGAGATGTTCAACTGAACTCTCTTGCCAGAGACCTTGAGCTGCACTTTAGACTCACTTCACCTTCTGACAGAGGTAATGTAAACGTACAGGGAGACACTCTTCCAGCAGTAGTGCATCTACGGAGCCTACACGCGCTCACGCACCAATTGCACCATTTCTAATTGCAGTGTGGGTATATATATTTTTTATGTACCACCTTTAGGAAATCAAGGCAGAAGCACACAAGAAGCTGTGACTGGTAATAGCCTATGCTTGTATATACATAATACATTAAGAAATGGTATCATTATGTGTCAGGACAAGGAGGTGATGTGAGAAAGAGAAGAAATGTAAAAGAGCAGGAATCACAACCAAACCGAAATGGTACATAAGTATAATACCACTTCTTCTGTGCAATACTTATTCTTACAATTTTACTTCAGATGATGATAGAATTACATCCAGTGAGACTACTTCACATTCACAAAGTGCACTCGGTAAGTGTGTGGCTTTACATAGTGCATTAATTGGGCACTCATGTATACTACCACTAAAGGGGATCTGTAAACAACTCAATGTGTATGTTCTCTGCCTCGCACCTCTGTATGTTTTGCAGGGCAAGGCTGTTTGGGGAAACTGGTGATAACCATTCTGATCTCTGTGGCAGTCGGACTTCTTTACTTCTTTTTGTCTTAGTCTGTTATGTAGTGCATTAGCATGGATTGTCACAACCTCTTTCTGTACTTCTCTCCCTGTGTATGTGTAAGCAGGCAGCACATGTATATCACATTTCCTTCTCACTCTGACTGTGTCTGACGTGCATGTTAGAGAAGACGTGAACATTATACCACCAACCACCGCTGTCTGTTGCTACCACCCACTGTCTGTTTTCTCCTTACCATCCAGCATTAACTGCACACAACACAAAGGCTCCACTCCATTCCATTCTCATTTCCCGTTCTCAATCTCTGAAACATTCATCACCAATTCCTCTGTTCAATTATTCAGCGTGCGCGTGCCCTCACTACTGCATGCGCGTAAATAAGTTTATAGTCGCTACGTGTTTGCACGTGGAGCAGTGAGCAAACCTTCATCGTCGGTCCAGCAGTGATAGAAAGTTATCTCTCTCCTCTGGCCTCGTCTCCATGTCCTCCTCGTCAACCGCTAGTGGAGACGACGGCTCCAGACGACAGCTGAGTGTCGCTAGAATCTTCTCAGACGAGAATGGAGAGACCCACTTCGGATCTTTCACCATCTCCATGACTGGCTCTGGTATAACTATACGAGTATGTATAGCAACAAGGAGAGA